GGCGCGAGACGAATTCGGATAAAAATCACAAAAATCATAGTTTCCAACGAATGAGTGCAGGCTTCATCAATCTCCACGTCGCTGTCATCAGCGCATAAATCATGCCAATTGATTTTACTCGAAGCCGGATCCCCACGGTGTCCAAGCGAGCGAGAGACCATCCCACCATTTTTACCAATAGATTTCCTCGGAATGAGATCACCTCTATCTTTACCTTTTCCCTTCGCACCACGGAAAGTCACGGCTTTGTCGACCATGAGTTCACCCTTAGGGACTCCTGTGATAATAGCTTTCCTGCTGAGGATAGAGTCCTCGATACCAGACTTGTGTGCACCCGATGGCTCTTCGCGACACGGGCTGTCGGGCGGGAAGAGGGGAGGGGTTAGGTCCGATGATTCGTGAACGTCTCGAACTGTCATAAGAAAACAAAAGAACTGAAGGGTGAAAGGTCCGAAAAAGGCTTGCAATTGAGCCGACGAATAACCTTCTCTAACGTAGTTGGCCAGGTCTTCTTATCACCGAGCTGCCTGGTCAGGAATTTGACACTGGCGACAGCGCGCTCTGCCAAACCGTTTGAAAAAGAAGCATATGGCGACTCCACCCGATGCTTCACTGCTCTTAGCGAGAGCATTTCAGCTAGTGGACGCCCACGGAAACACGGGCCTCCGTCAGTGCGAAGCAAGGCCGGAGCACCCAATAAAGCGAAGAGGCTAGCCATCTCGGTCGCCACTGTGGCACTTTTTCGATCCTTCAAGGGAGATACTACAGTGAATCCGCTGAAATGGCACGTCAGCAACAATACCGCGCAAAATCTGCGCTTGCAAACCCAGCCTATCTCGGCAAGGTCAGCTGAAACCGTAGACCAACACTCCTGCACGCCTGTGCGGAAAGAGCGGGCTGAGCGCCTATTAAATGACTAGACTAGAAGCGCCTATTAAATGACAAACGACACACTTCACAGGTACCGCACACAGCCTCCAAGAAGGAATGAAGCCGGGGGATATAAAAGCATCTGGACACCAACCATCGTATGTTACGACGATCAAAGCAGCCAGTTTCACCATGGTATGCATCGACGATCGAATGTGCGTGCTGCTCTCCCTCGGAAGTATCCGTGGGAACATAATAACATGTACGAGTCGCGGAGACTCCGTTCACCTCCGGGGTTTGGAATCTCTTCATTAGAAGACCATCGTCAGCCAAAGAGAAATCCTGTAGTTTTGCCGCCACTCCCGATATCGGGGCTGTAGCGGGCCCTACCGGGGCAACATCCGGGGGTGGGGATGAACTGAGGGATCTGAGTATGAAATTGGCAGTCGGGAAGCCCACTGGAGAGCGAGCAGCCGCTGCCTGGATGGTCTTCCATGCTCCATGCCGAACTCCAGGACGCCTTGCGATGCTGGATGGACTGTTGCAATGACCCTCAGCTGTTTCTCAACGTCACATACGGTAATATTATCTTCAGAGGAGCCTAAGCCACCGTCCTCATCAAAAACCGTAACTGCTTTGGTGTGCACCACACCGCGATCTTCGAAGATGATACTGCCGGGATACCCCAGGAGAAAGCAAGCCTGCTGAGACTGTCCGACTCAGACTTCTGCTCCGCCGGGACATGCAGCAGCTCAAGGGTCAACCTGTACTTCGGACGACTGGACTCGGACGACTGTTTGACCACCCAAAGCATCTGTAACTGATCCTCCTCAACCTCTGAGATCAGAATAGAGCGGACTCTTCCGAGCCCCCATCGGGTGCTATTACTTGGAGAGACTCTGAGGAAGAG